TTTTTTGACAACTATTCTTGATATATTATTTGGTAATGGACGTCGTAACCATGATGACTGTGTTTTTAATGCTCGATCAATAAAATTTATACGTTGTTGAATTTCTTTAAATGTACGCATAAAATAAGTTTGTAACCATTCTGGACCAATATCAGGTGTGAAAAAAACTAGACATGCATTTTGAAATCCATCTATAAAACGTATCATTTCATTTTCTAAAGAGATTAAACGTTCTAAACATTCTTCACCGCGTTTATAATGAATATAATTTTGTCGTATATGAACATCAGTTACATATAAACGTACAAATGACATTGTTTCTTCATATTGTCTTATTATATTATCATGTTTATACATCATTTCATACATTTCATGACCTAAAAATGATTGAAAGAAATATTTTATTTTAAATTCACACTAATAAATTACCTGGAAATGTGCATGATACAAATGTTGCATATGATGATCGTTCCCATAATGGTATTTGAGTACAACCTAATAATGTCTGAGATATTGTTTCATTTAATTCATTAGTTATATGACCATGAACAATTGTTTGTAAAGAATATGTTAATGAAGGTATCGATGAAGGAAGAAATTCACATAATGAAAGCATATGATCATAACGAGACCATCCAGTAACAGCAATACCAGTAAAATTAACTTTATGTCTTTCGGATGCAATATACATTGTTTCAAGCCATGTTTGTTGATTGCGATGATGATGACCAATATAACTCATTGTTGTTGTTTCACCAGATGAACCTTTATATGCACTTGCTACCCACACTTCAGGGAACATTGCAAATCTATATATAGATATACATATATGTTTGAACAAAAATGCTCTTTACTTTTATTAAAAAGATTATTGATTCGTTTATGTCTTTCTATTAGACAAAAAAAACACCTAAGAGCTATCGAATATATATATATATATGTATATGTCTAAGTTGTTTGCTTCAATATTACTTATAATTATCAATCTTTTGATCCTATTTCAAGTGTGTATCTATGAAACTAAAACCTTGATTTGAATAATCATTTATCATCATTCTTGTACAATTCAGATATATCAGAAGAGAAGCTTAATAAAATTTTTATCTTAAAATTCTTCCTATTACCATTATATATCCTATTCTAGTTTATCAGTGTATATTTTCATCAAGTACTCAATTATTGTCCTTCATAAATCTTCTCAAATTTTGCCACTAGATGGATTAAAACTATTAATTCTTACTTCATCCAAACAGTATCATCAAACCATGTTTTAACATCATCGACATATGTCCATACCATTGGTACAACAAGATCAATTAATTCTGTAATCTGTCAATCAAAAAAAAACAAAAGAATATAAGTATGTAAATAAAATAAAGAATATATTTTTCTTCTGTTCTTACATTATTATAACCTGTATTGACAAGTTGAGAAACCATATCATGCCAAATAAATAGTTTAATATTAGATCGTTTTGACTTAATATATTTAGCAATACGAGAAACATGTCTAAAAATAAATTTAAAAAAAAACCACATAAATCACGAGTTGAATGCGTAAGGTTAATTCAAGTCTTGTCTTTTTTTTCTTTTTTTCTTCATTTTTATTCAAAATTTATAATGACACTAAAAGATTTAACCTTTTTATTTGTGGTTATTTAACATTTTGAAAAGTAAAGAAGAATGTCATCACCTTCTGAGTTGTTCTTTCGTATACTGTCATCAATTGAAAAAAATTATCATAATAAATAAAATAAAAGGCAGAAGGAGGAGGAGAAGTGAATACGTGTATATGTATATGTGTCGTGTATCCACAACGACACGTTCGTGTTCTTTCCTTTTTCTTTCTTCTTACTTTTGTCGTTACTGCTGCTTGGATCCGATCATTAAATGTGTATTAGCAATTAGGTGCTGCTAACCTCTTCTTATTTCTCATTACATAACTGTGAATACGCCCTTTGCCCTCTCGAACCTGTCAAAAAAACGGTATTGGTACCAATATACGACAAAAAAAAAGAAGAAAAAGGCTAACGTGCTTACAATCATTCATATAATATACAATGAACTGGCAATATAAACATGAACATACTCTTGAACAACGTCGATTCGAATCTGAACGAATTCGAAGACGTTATCCTGATCGTATTCCTGTTATTGTTCAACCATTAATATCATCGTCATCGTCAACATCAACATCCTCATCAATTTTATCAACATCACTATTTCGTTCATTTTCATCATCAGCATCTTCATCATCATGCAATGAACTAGTATTAGCACGTCTTGAAAATGAAAAATTTCTTGTTCCATCAGAATTATCATTTGGTCAATTTGCTTATAATATTCGACGACGTTTACGTTTACGAGCTGAACATGCATTATTTTTTTATATTGGTGTCTATGGTAAACAACCAATATTGAGCTCAACTATGGAAGTATTATATAATGACAATAAAGATACAGATGGTTTTTTATATGTATGTTACGCAGATGAAAAAGTTTTTGGATAAAAAATTTGTATTTGTCTGTATAAGTTTTTTCTTTTTATAATAAAATAAATAAAGTTTACCTGATAAATAAATCAGCTTCATCACGAAATTTATATTTAGCACATTGTGGATGAATGAAACGATAATAAACTTCATCACAACCAATATGAAGATATGGAATTGATGGATGAAGTGTTAACATTTGATCAACCATTTCTAAATTATAATAAAAGAAATATATATATTTATTTTTTCTATTATATGATTTTAAATACCAAATAATAATTCATAGCTCTCTTCAAGACATGGTGTTATAACTTGTGGATATTTTGTATCTTCTCGTAAATGCATAAATTCTTTTAATTTAAGTACATATTCTAAATGACCATAAACTTGAAGTAATGGCATCACTTTTAAATTATTTTTCTCAGCTAATTGTAATATTTTTTCAATATCATTCTTTTTATAAGCAAGACCATGTTGTATACTTGATAAACGACCAGTAAATGGAAACATGTCTTCATATTCAATAAGTAAGCCAGTAGCACCGAGTTGTTTTAAATATGGAAATAATTTTTCAAAATAAACCACTTTTGGTGCAGCACCTTTTAAATCAAGATGTACAAAACGTTGAAGATTTTTTGTTTCTATAACAGGTAATGTTAATGTTTGATTTTTTGCTGATACAATTTGCTTATTATTATTATTGCTATTGACCACATTCATAAGAGAAGGAATTTGAGAAGTTTGTACTGACTTTTTAGTTTGTTGATCTTCATTTATATGTACATTTAATAATGTAGTACTATTAGTTGTTAATTGTTTTGGAGAAAATTGATATCTTATTTTATGATTTGGAATATGATCATGTGATAAATCAGAATGATCTTCATGATGATGACCATGATCATGATGATCAAATGAAGTTTCAAAGAATATTACATGGCGATTTTGATAAATAGCAAGTAAAAGTAATATAACAATAGGTAGCAGAAGAGCTGTTACAAGACTACGACGTAAATAACGACGAGAAAGCATAAAAGATGAATGAGATAATACTTCACAATAACGAATGAATACAATATCTCATTAGCTAAAATAAAAACAAAATATAATATTTTAAGACATTTATAAATATAAATCTAATCGATTTTTGTTTAATATCAATTGACATTATTTAGCAAAAGAAGAAAAAAAGAAAGTCTTAATCTAGCTTAACGAATATTTGACATTCGAGATATTTAAAATAAATAAATACGGTATCTAACAATCCTCCAAAAAAATGAGGATTCAAACAAAAGAACACAGAAAAAAGCACGTGAGTCAATTTTTAGCAAATAAAAAAAATCCGTCGTTAATCGTCGACAAACAAAGTTTTTTTTTCATCCTTTTTTCTCTGCAGAAATGTCGAAGTCATTTTTTTGCAATCAATATTTATTTTCATCTAAACGCTATTCTCTTTTCCGTAGTCTGTCAACTGATAATAACAATTCTATGTCATGCTAAATACAAATTTGCTGTTATAATACGTTAACAGACATATTCGGAATTTTTCTTACAATCTTTCATCATTAATAATGTTTAACAATGAATACAGGAATAAGAGACAATCTCATTTGATCTTCTTCTTTTTCCTCTATTTCTCTTCTTTTTTTTACCTTATTACTCCAACTAAAGTCTATATATAGTAATACACATACACTATTACATGAAAGTTTATCATAAATCGAGAGTAAATAGACATCGAGATGCGCTCTAACTACTAATTTTTTCTTCTTCTCTATCATCTTTATATCTACGAGTGCATGCTTCATAAGTAACTCATGATTATCTCAGAAAAGAACATGTACTATAGATAAATCACGAGTAAAGGAGCATTTTTTTATATAAAAAAAAGTTTATCTATTGCTTCTATTCTAACTTATTTTTTCCAACGAACAAACCCATATTATTTGCGTAATATTTTTTTTTTCTATGAACTTATCATCCCGAGGGAGCAGTGTGTTCTTTTCTATTGCTAGCATACTTCCTTACATGTTGGGTTGTGTGCTCTAAGAGCTTGTAACGATGACGATAGTAATATTAGAGGTTAGCACACATAGGAGAAAAAAAAAGAAGAACAAAGAACAACGAAAAAAAAAGGAAAAAAAGAAAATAAAAGATTATATTAACAAATGACAGAATCGGAAAATTCTCGGTATTTTTGTTAGATAAAAAAAAGGACAACATATGTCTTCCTCTATTAAATATATTGCTTTTTATTCAAATGATATCGAATCAAATATAAAGAACGATAAAATTTAATCTCGAGACAAGAAAAAGAGGCTGTGAAAGATATGAACTCTTTCTTTTTTTTTCTCTTTCTGTTCTCACAAAGAATGAGAACAAAATCGAACAGATAAGCTATCGAAGATTATTTGGTAGGCTATATAATCTTATCAACATCATGTGAGAAGCCCGCAGGATATGCCATTCGACTTGTTTATATACTGCTTCTGTTGCTACAAACAAAATATATTTGTTGTTTATAAGAAGTATATTTAATAGAAAATAATACAAAATAGTTTTATTATTTATGCAGTTCAATAATTTATATATTGTAGATGATTTTAACAAACTAGATTAAAAAGAAAAGTGATAGGAATGGATTATTCTGATGAGGTTTTTTTCCAAGATTTTTCTGAAATGAATAGAATATTAATCTTTTTTTATATTAACAATTGATAATAGTTTTATATATAAATTCTTTGTATCAAAATAATTGAATAATTTCATCATTCATTTATATTGATCCAGATTTGATAGAATTTTTATCGAGACGATATACTTAATATTCCAAATGAAATTATTAAAATATAAGTATAGAACGATATCTACAATAATTGCAAACAAATATTTAAATCGACTTGAAATCAATCTTTATAACCTTTTTTTGTAATATATTATTTAAATTCTCTCACAAATCATTTGTTCACTTTTTGTGCTACGTTACTATATTAGTTTTGAATCATATCATAAAATTTCATCAAGATTATAGTTGATAATGAATCATACTATTTATAGTATTTATAAAAGAAATGATGATGATGATGATATGAGTCATTTTTTTCTTTTTTCTTTTTGGAATAATGAGAATATGTCAAGCATATTTTTATTTCTTTTCATAGTACACATAAAATTTAACTATGGCAATGGTCATTGATTACTCATTTGTATACGTATGCATGTTGATTCTGTTACTTACTACATGTTATGTGTTATTGCGTACAAATTACGAAACTATTTTTTGCGTTCTAAATAGACAAAAAAAACAACTATGTAACATTCATTTGCCCGTTATATCGTATCGAGGAAGCATCGAGTGCATAATTATTTACTAAGGAAAAATGGCTCATGGTTTATCGAATTCAGATATGAAAAAAGAATTGTTTGATGATCAAACTACATTGGATGATAAATTAGATAAACTAGCTGAATGGATTAAAGAAAGTAAACATTTTATTGTATTTACTGGTATGTTTTCAAAATAATAATTATCTGTAAATAATTTACGCATATCTATTCTTTAGGAGCTGGAGTATCTACATCAACTGGTATTCCAGATTTTCGTAGTGGAATGGACACAGTTTTACCAACTGGACCAGGTGCTTGGGAATTACGAGAGTAAATATCTATAAAAACACTATTAAACTCCAATACTTATTAGAATTTTTTAGTAATAATACGTCGCGTTCAAAAAAAGCAGTTGTTATTAATGACATGCATAAAGCTATTCCATCACCTACACATATGTATACTTTTTATTTCTTTATATCGAATAGATTAAGAATATAAAAATTCTTTTTTCTTTTAACAAGGGCTTTAGTTGAATTACAACGTCGTAAAATATTAAAATGTTTAGTATCACAAAATTGTGATGGATTACATTTACGTAGTGGAATGAATCCAAAATATTTAGCTGAATTACATGGTAATATGAATTTAGAATCATGTTCAAAATGTGATGCAAAATATTTACGTGATTATGATGCAGCAACTGGTCGTCTTGATCATTACACAGGTCGTAAATGTGATAAACCTGAATGTCGTGGTCAATTAAAAGATTCAATCATTAATTTTGGTGAAAATTTACCTAAAGAGGAAATAGAAAAAGCATTTAGACATGCAGAAAATGCTGATCTTTGTCTTGTACTTGGTAATGAACACTTCTTCGTAAATAAAAAACAATTATCTAATCCGGTTTTCTTTTGTTTTAAGGTTCTAGTTTAACTGTCACACCAGCAGCTGATGTACCACTACGAGTAGCTAGACGTAATCAAAAGTTAGTTATTGGTAATCTACAACGAACACCATTATATACAATGGCTACAGTCAATATACATGCATTTAGTGATACCATTATGCAAGGTCTTATGGAAAGACTTGGCATACCTATTCCACCATGGATTGTTCGTCGACGTGTGCGCGTTACACGAGAAAGTACATCCGATAATAAAAATTATGAAATTTTGATCGAAGGACGTGATCCAGATAATACAAATATACCATTTACTCTTTTTAAATCTATACAAGTAGATAGTGAAGGAAAAACAATTAAACAAATGAATCGTGAACCATTTATATTTGAAATATCAAAAAAGAATGCTGACCCAATAAATATTCAATTTCATTTTTTTGGTCATTATAATGAAATTCCATTTAATTTGAATTTTACTAATATTAATGATGTTCCACAAGAAGATGAACTCTATTTATTTTATAATCCAATGATTGGACAATGGCGTAAAACAAAAAATCCGGATGATTTTCCTCTGTAAATAGTTTTTATTTATTATATAGTATGCATCTATTTCTGCTATAAAAGAAAATAAATAAATCATTATAAACATGACCTATACTGTTATATAAATAATCAAACTATTTTGTTTCTTTAGATAGATTGTTTGAAGAAAAGGATATTATCGATAACTTTTATCTAAGAATTTGTAAGTTAAATATAATCATACTTTTCCGAGTATTTTTGTACAGATCAATTGCTCATAATTTGAAAAAACGTTTTACAAAAATCTAACACTTATGAAATTTACTTACAATTAGATTTAAGCAAGAATTTCTTAGCTAAGATACTCGATATTTACAATCATTAATTGATTCAATAGAAAGATGTTATGTAATGCGAAGAGTTCTTGAGTAAGTCTATCGATTAATCACGTCTTTTGAATAAGTCATCGCTGTGATATTAGTTATTCGTATTTAGTTCATATATATATATATATCATATTTTCATTTATCAAAATAAATTTAAAACAATATTTTGATTTTGTTCGTTCATGTATAATTATTTTTGTTTTACTCTTTTCTTTTGTCTTCATCCTCATCATCACATGCATCTGTGCAACTTCAACGCGTATTCGAGCAGATACCAAAACTACTTACAGAAGAAAACAAGAAAAGGCAACTGTAAAAGAAAAACACAAAAAATAAACAAGCCAAAAAAACAGAAAAAAAACAAAAAAAAAACAAAAAAAGAACGCACGCTCGCGTACGAAGTACAAAGTCTATGTTATATATAAACTTGATGTCAGCCGTAACACAGACAACGTAGAAAAAGGAAAACACCGAAGACAAACAACAAACAATAACACCGATAAATGAAAAACCAAAGAAAACATATTTGTAAAGTAGAAATGAAACTAGGAATGTTTCATACAAACTAGCATGTCTTTTCTTTAATCTTATTTATAGTATGTATACATATTTATAAATATGTTAATGTAGGAAACAAGTATCAACGAATGGGATACCGTAAAAGTAAACAGCATAATCAAATATATATGTGTATATATATGACTTGATACGCTATGATCGATGTAGAGAAAAAACAAATTGAACTGAAGAAATAAAGTAATGAAAAAATCCGAAGTACAAAGATAATAGGAATTGATCACATTTATATAAAGAAAATGTTAAGTTTTTTTTATACTTAATAATTTTCGAATGTTGTTATTGTATTTGAAAGAACAGTGGGTGATGATGATGATGATGATAAACTGTTGTTTGTTAATGGTGAACGAACAGCTGATGATGTTAATAATGTAGTAGATGGTGATGGTGCACGATTTTCTTTTTGTAATTCATTCAAATGAGATCTACCACTAATCATTGCCGAATTAAATTGAGATGTAGGTACTTGGGAAGGTGGTGAATGATCAGAAGTAACCGGTTCAAAATTTGATACAGTTGTTGTTGTTGTTCTTGATGACGATGATCGATCATCTTCTTCAGCTAATTCACATAAATTAACATTGGCCAATGTAGAACAAAGTTTTTGTAGATCTATTATGAAAATAAGATTATCAATTGATTAATTCAACAATTAGAGTTCAAATTTAATCGAAACCTATTCGAAACTAAACAATAATACTTATATGTAAAATTATTCTTTTGTGTTTCTCACTAGATATTCCATCACTTTCAACTCTAACAATATTTCAATGCTTTTGTTACCCCGATTCTACAGAAATTAGAATCAAATTTCTTTAAAATTGTATGGACTTGAATTAAATTCTTCTATCACATTCATCGTTACGAACTTCAGCTTTTAATCAACTTCAATATTGTCTAACAATTAAATTGAAAGCTATTTACCAAATAATAACGGTAGAAGATTTTGAAACATTCTACGTCCAACAGTTAAACCAAATGCATCGTGTAAATACCGACATACAAGTTCAACGTAACTTTGTTGAATTTTATTTAATTTTTCATTAAGTTTTGATATCGAAGATGGTGACGTTGGGTGTGTGGATGGTGATATTGATGATGGTGAACTACCAGTTACGGATAATGATTGATTTACAGCTGATTTATCTGATGTATTTTCTACTGATTGCTGTTTTCCTTGATCATATGAACAAACATCAAAACCTTCTTCAAAATCATCAGAAAATAATAGAACAATCATAAGTAACAAGAATAATGTATGTGAATGTTCAGCTGATTCTTTATTATGTGGCAATTGATAAGTAACAGAAGTTAATTTAGTAGCTAATGCTACAAAATGACTATAAACTTTTTGTCCATAAACAAATAAAAGATATTTTGCATCGTATGGTTGATCAGCTAAAAATAAATTGAAATACATCATATATATATATATTTTTTTTGTTTCTAATTTTTGCATTCAAAATACCTGTAGTTCGATCAACAAATGTATCACTATCAGTATCATATGTTAGTGCTCCATGAAACATAAAAACTGCAAGCATATTTTTAATTAAAATAGATTTTTTTTCTAATTCTGACAATAATTGAAATTCAGGTATTAAAGAAAAATAATATAATAAACGTGATGTTGTCATTTGTGTTAATTCTCTTGTTAAATCTTTCACTAACATTAATTTAGTATCCATATCTACTGTTTGAGCTATAAAAGCATTACGATTAGCAAATTTATGTGGTTGAGGATATTGTTGACATATCATTTGATAACCATTTGACAATTGCGTTAATAAACACTGATGACGTTCATATAATTGTTGATCGGCTGGTCGATGCATATGTATTATTGGCATTGGAAGAATACGTGATTCACATGGTTGCGTTGTAATTGGATGTTGAGAATTAGATGATGATGACTGCTAAATATAATAATATTGAATGATATTTGTTGATTTAAAAGAAATAAAGAAAAAAAATTATAATAAACAGAGGAAGAAAATATTGATTCTGAATCCAGGTTATTCAAAAAAATTGAATTCGAAATGTTATCTTTGAACAAATAAATTAAATTTAAAGAATAGGAATATCGAAAGAAACACATTTCAATGTTTTAGGAAAGCAACTCAGTTGTTATTCATGCATTATAATTATAGAAATATTTCTTTTCTAGTAAACAAATAGAATGAGAATTAAAAAAAAAGAGTGATGAAGTTATAAATTCTATTTGATAATTGAGAAAAATCAGATTTTTGATTGACTTTTAAATATCTTGTTGATACGATTGACTCAACTCATTCTTATTATATTACAGCTAAATATTAAAATCAAGCTGATAATTGTTAATTAAGAAAAAGCCATAGAAAATATTCAAGCAAAAAATATCACGTTACTTCAATAGAAGAACCATTTGTCTCGAAGTTTTTATCTAAAATTTTACTATTCATAATAGGAATATCTTCAAAAATATATTTGCAAAAAATTCCAACGATTCTCAATTGCTTAAATTGTCTTCGAACAAAATAATTTTTTTTTATAAAAAGCCCTCGGAATCATATTCAAAAATGTATGTGATTTCACGTTTATTCATCTCCTTACTCACGTGAAATAACCTGACAAAGGATTTGTCATATTCTGAAGTATTATAATCACAAAAAGGTACTTGTATATTCTTTTTAATGACTTATATAAATATGTTCCTGCGAACCGGAAGTACTCGTTATGTAAGATTATTTAAAAGAAAAATGACTCATTGATCTTTTCTATGTCAAAAAATTCTTTTAACATTACTACAAGTGATAAACTTTTTCTATGAGAAAATATACGCTCGCATATTTTACTATAGACATACTTCAACAATAGATAATGTAGATATATTTGTTTGAAAATTCGAATGATTAACATCTTGATTTCGTTGTTGATGACCAGTTATCTGTGCTTGTTGTTTAATTAAACGATTACGTTCAATTTTTCTTCTTTTTAAACGTTTTTCTTCATCTGTTAATATCCATTCTTTCCGCATACCTAAATTAAAATAGAATGTAAGTTATTTCGTTTTCTAATGAAAAACAAATATATATCTTAAGATAAAATACTCACCCACTTTAAAACATTTTGTTAATCGACATCGCTTACATCGTTTACGTGTTGCTGATGTTATTACACAACTGTTATTATTTCGGCATCGAAATTTGTCCTAAAAAGTGGAAATAATTGTAAAACAAATACAGACGTACTGAATAATATTTACCATCGATTTGAGAGCATTTCGCCGAAAAAATGCTTTACACGATTCACATGTAACTATAAATAAAAATGTATTCTTTGAAACAGACTGTTTTTTTTATTTTTATTAAATTTAATACTTTGATCGAAATTGTAACCATGTGCTTTTGCTCCACAAACATAACATGGTGAGACATCTTTTTGACGTTTTATTCCATTATTTGATGTACTTGTACTGCTATTACTAGCAATACTGGAACGAGATGCATGAGTTCCCGTTTGTTGATTAGTTATATTGCTATCGTCATATTGTTCACTACCACTACTTTTTGATTTATCATCATCAATTTCGATCACAGATGGATTCATATTAACACTACTGTTCTTTACCTGTTCTTATTCCTATTCGATGTTAGGATATTTTGTTCATTACTGTATATCTAGAATGAGATAAGCAATTTAAAACAAAATTAGTTTTGCAAAAAATAATAATTTATTTATAATGAAAGTAAATCAAAGGTTTAAAAATGTATTACAAAAGATAAAAGAAGAAACTAACGAGTGTATTTTGTTTTATTTGAATTAGGTTATAAAAAAAACACCAATTCAGTCATGAATTCATTATTAAAGAGGAGAACGGCATCATTCTTTACGTAAAAACGGAGGCGTATGAGTACATATATAAGTATGAAGGAGAAGTCAGAGGAGAGAAAGAACAAAAAAAGAATGGGACAATGAAAGCAGTCTTAACAGTAGATAATATTTTATGCTTCAATACAGTATACGTTTGAGGACATTTTTCTTCAGTCACGTTACCCTTTCGTTATGTCAGCAAGTAATTTTATAATTTGAAGATTGCAAAAGAATTGAATTAAAAATATGTTTAAATACCCTTTTTTTTAATCAATATGTGCTAAATATTGATAAATTTCCTATTTGTATATCATTTATATGATTATTCCTAATAAAATATTATTTTTCTAACATGAACGTGACTTTGAATGAATAGATTTGAGATAGAATCAACAAAAATCTGTCTCATTGTTGATGAATGTATAACAACCAATGAAAAAACTGCTTCGTGACCTCTTATGCGAGTGAAAGTGAACGCCTACTTACTTTCTATAACTTACTTACAAAATATGTTGAGATTAAAAGACAAAAATGCTTTAAAAATGTAGTTTTTATATACATTTCTTAAGTTGACATACAAATATTTTATTTATTCAATTATAGAATCAAGGACACTTAATTTTTAGAAAAAAAAACTCTCATTTATATTTACCTATAATTGCGTTGACCACTTATTATCGATATATCTTCTATACAATGAAATTCATTATGTTCATATACACATTTACTTGTAGTGCAAAGACTACGCATAACATACATGCAAAACAAACATTAAAAAAATACACTACAGCTTTTCTTCTCTATACACTAGATACACATACGAACACGCAACTTCGAAGAGAGACGCAGGAAAGCAAAATGCTCTCTATATAGAGAATGAGAGACACACTGAATGGTTGCGCAGCATTATTTATAGCACAAGGTCAAACAATCTTTTTTTTCTTTTTTTCTTTTTCTTCTTTGCGTTCTGTCGCTTTTTTAACCGTCCTCAATGCACTCAGTTAAGCAGTCAGCTTTTCTTTTGTCTACACGACATTTTTAGTTAAACCATAAAGAATAAATAACTATATCGATATTCAAAGAACATGTCTTATATAATCATGAAAAAATATATACGTAAAAGGTTTTTACTAAAAAAAAATCTCTAATTATGATTATCATTAACTAAAGATCAAAGTTACATTAATTTTATACTTATTATTTATCAGTATCATTTTCTTAAAACATATTTTCAATAATTAATTTAACTTTGAAATTATAAATAATTAAACTAGAAAAAAACTCTTAATTAATATGAAATTTTATGAATAGTACGTGTCTCGTTAAAATAATAATAACAAGTAATTCGAAGATATGATCAAGTACCTCTTCTCTTCTTTTGATAAGCATATAGACGCATACACACGTACACATGT